GAAATGTATAGAATGTTCCATACAACAACATTTACTTTCTTCTCAGCTGCTTATAGAACTTTCTTCAAAATAGGCCATATTTTAGGCCACAAAACAAATCTCAGCAAATACAAGAAGAACAATACAATTCTTTGAATCTTATCTGATCAAAATGAAAGAAAATTAGGACTCAACACCAAAAACAAAACTACAGAAATTGTATAAACTCATGAAGACTGAACAATATAATTTTGAATGATGAACGGATAATAGAAGAAATTAAGATAAATTTTTAAATTCTTAGAATCAAACAAGAATAGTGATATAACATACCAGAACCTCTGGGACACTATGAGAGTGGTTCTAAAAGGAAAGTTTATATCCATTAGTGCCTACAAAGGATCAGTGAAAACAAAGAGTCAGTTATTTTAAAAGATATACAGGATGAATAAACCTTTAGCCAAATAAACCGAAAGAAAAAGATAAGACCCAAATTCATAACATTAGAGATGCATAAGGAAAAAAAATCATCACATACATCACAGAAATCCAGAGGATCATTAGGGATTATTTTGAAAATTTATATCCCAATAAATTAGAAAATCTAGAAGAATTGGATATATTCCTAGATACATATTCTCTGCCAAATTGAGTGAAGAGGACATAGAAAACCCAAATAGACCTGGAACAAGCAATGAGATAGAAGCAGTCATTAAAAGAATTTCAACAAAGAAAAGCCCAGGACTAGCTGGTTTTTTAGCTAAATTCTATCAGACCTTATTAGGTTTAGATTTTAGGTGTCCTGTGAAAGCTCATATGTGACACAATGCAAGAAAATTCAGAAATGAATTGACTGAGTTTATGAGGGGCCAAATCTCATCAGTGCATTAGTCCATTCAGGGATTAACTAAGCACTGAATGTAGACAGGTAGGATGTGGCTGGAGGAGATAGGTCATGGAGGGGGGGATTGCTTTTGGGGTTTATATTTTGTTCCTGGTGAGCAGAATGCTCAATGTCCCCCACCAATCCCATCACTTGCTGTTTTCCTCCTCTACACCCTTCTGCCATGGTGCTCTGCCTTACCTTAGGCCCAGAACAACAGAATCAGCCATCTGTGAACTGAGACCTCTGAAACTGTGAGCACCAAATAATCTTTTCCTCCTCTAAAATTGTTCTTGTCAGGTCTTTTGATCACAGCAGTAAAAAAGGTGACTAAAATAGACCTTTATATATATATATATATTTTAGTTGTGGTTGACACAATACCTTTATTTACTTACTTATTTAATTACTTATTTTTTATATGGTGCTGAGGATCTAACCCAGGGCCTCTACCGCTGAGCCTCAACCCCAGCCCCTAAAATAGACCTTTAAAGAAGAACTAATGCCAATGCTCCACAGTGTATTCCATGAAATAGAAAAGGGTGGAATACTTCTAAATTCATTCTGTGAAAAACCAGTATCACCCTGATAACAAAACCAGATAACAACACAAGAGGGACCAATATTCCTGATGAATCTAAATGCAAAACTCCTTAATAAAATATTAGCAAATCACATTCAACAACATATTAAGATTGCATTGTGACAGGGTGGTTTTATTTCAGTATTGCAAGGATGATTTAATATATGTTAATCGATAAATGTAATTCACCACATAAATAGAATTAAGGACAGAAATCACATAGTCATCCTAATAAATGCAGAGAAAACCTTTGACAAGATTTAGCACACATTTATGATAAAAACTGAAGAAACTAGGGATAAGGAACTAACCTTAAAATCATAATTCTAGCCATTTCCAAGAGAAGGAAATTTCTAAAAGAAGGAAATAAAAGAGATGAAAATAGGAAAAGAAAGAGTCAAATTATTACTATTTACATATGACATAGTACATTTAAAAGATTCAAAAAGCTCCACCAGAAGTCTGCTAAAGCTAATCAGCAAAGTAGCAGGTTACAAAACCAACATACAAAAATCAGTAGCTTTCTCACATACCAGTTATGAACTTGCTGAGAAAGAAATCAAGAAAACTATACCATTCATAATAACCTCAAAAAAAAAATCCTAGGATTGAATCTAACCAAGAAAGTAAAAGACATCTACAATGAAAACCATACAATACTGAAGAAGACTCAAGAAGATGGAAAGACCGACTATGTTCATGGATCAGCAGAATTAATATTGTTAGAAATGGCCATGTTACCAAAAGCAATATACAGATTCAATTTAATCCCCATCAAAATACCAGTGATATTATTCACAGAACTGGAAAAATAATCCTAAAATTCATTTGGAATAAATAAAAGACCCAGAATGGTCATAGAAATTCTAAGACCCCCCCACACACCTAAAAAAAAAATTCTGGAGGCATCACAATACCTGACTTCAACTTATATTAAAGAGTTACAAAAACTTGCATGATACTGGCATAAAACAAGACAGATAGACTATTGGAACAAAATGAAAGACACAGAGACAAACCCACACTTTTACAGTTGTCTGATACTTGACAAAGGTACCAAAAACAAACATTGAAGAAAAGACAGCCTTTGTAACAAATGGTGTTGGGAAAACTGGTTATGTAGAAGAATGAGACTAGATCCTCATCTCTCAACCTGCAGAAAAGTCAACTTAAAATGAATCAAAGACCTAGGAATTAGACCAGAAACTACGCAACTTCTGGAAGAAAATGTAGGATTAGCACTCCAATATTACAGGCTCAGGAATTAATACCAATAATTAATAAATGGAATGGCATCACATTGAAAAGCTTCTGTACTACAAAGGAAACAACAATTAAAAAAAAGTATGTGATGAGGGAACTTACAGAATGGAATAAAAAAAATTCAAAATAACAATAAAAAAATCTAATTAACAAATAAACAAATGAACTTGACCATTCTCAAAAGAAGAAATACAAATGACCAACAAATATATGAAAAAAAAAATGTTCAGCATCTTCAGCAATTGAGGAAATGCAAATCAAAACTACACTGAGATTTCATCTCACTTCAGATAGAATAGCAGCTATTTTTTTTTAAAGAGAGAGGAGAGAGAGAGAGAGAGAGAGAATTTTTTTAATATTTATTTTTCAGTTCTCGGCGGACACAACATCTTTGTTGGTATGTGGTGCTGAGGATCGAACCCCGGCCGCACGCATGCCAGGCAAGCGCGCTACCGCTGAGCCACATCTCCAGCCCGGAATAGCAGCTATTAAGAATACAAATAGGGCTGGGGATGTGGCTCAGTGGTAGAGAACTCACCTAGTACGTGTGAGGCCCTGGATTTGATCCTCAGCACCACATAAAAATAAATAAAGGTATTGTGTCCAACAACAACTAAAAAATAAAATATTTTTTTTAAAAAAAGAATACAAACAAGCCAGGCATAGTGTCACACACCTGTAATCCCAGTGGTTTGGAAGACTGAAAGGAAAATTAAGAATTCAAAGTCAGCGGGCTGGGGATGTGGCTCAAGCGGTAGCGCGCTTGCCTGGCATGCGTGCGGCCCGGGTTCGATCCTCAGCACCACATACCAACAAAGATGTTGTGTCCGCCGAGAACTAAAAAATAAATATTAAAAAAATTCTCTCTCTCCCTCTCCCTCTCTCTCCCCTCTCTCACTCTCTCTTAAAAAAAAAAAAAAAAACAAAGTCAGCCTCAGCAACTTCAAGGCACTAAGCAACTCAATGAGAACTTGTCTCTAAATAAAATACAAAATAGAGCTGGGGACATGGCTCAATGGTTGACTACCCCTGAATTCAATTCCCAGTATCAAAAAAAAAGAATACAAATAATAATAAATGCTGTAGAGGATGTGGAGGAAAAAGAGCACTTTTACACTTTGTATGATTATAAATTCATATAACCACTATAGAAATCAGTATTGAAGTTCCTTAAAAACCACCACATGATCCAGCTATACCACTTCTTTTTATTTATTCTAAAGAATTAAAGCTTACTATGGTGATACATGCATACCCATGTTTATAGCAGCACAATTCACAATGACCAATCCATGAAATCATCTAGCTGTCCATCAGTGAATTAACAAGTAAGAAAAATGTGGTATGCATAAACAGTGGCATTTTATTCAGCCATAAAAAGAATTAAATTATGTCATTTGCCAGAAAATGGAAAGAACTTAATATTATGTTAAGTAAAACAAACCAAACTCAGAAAGCCAAGGATATGGAAGCTAGAGAGGAAAAATATGTGGAAGCTAGAGAGGAAAAAGGAAACAGAAGGAGGGGTTGTTATCTGAAAAGCAAAGGGAACTCAGCAGAGTTCAGGAAGGGGACCAGTGTGGGAGAAAAAGGGGAAATACTGGGGAATGATATTGGCCAAATTATTGTTTCCTCTTGTGCATGTACAAATAATGTAACAATGAATCCCACCATTATGTATAATTATGATGCACCAATAAAAAATAGGGGAAAATTTTTAAAAAATTAAGGAGACATCCACATTTTTTTTTTTCAGAAGAAAAAGAAAAGAGAAAAAAAGAAATTTAGTGCTGGACTAGGAACTGAAAATGTAATGATGCATCTGACCTGGTCCCTGCTCAATTTGTGTTCTAAAAATAGTAATGATTATAGCAAGTAATAATACAGGATTCTAATACAAAGTGATTGAAAATAAGAAATATAACTTTTTCAAATTTTAGCTATGGAAGATGTTTTAATATTTTCTTGCAACTGAGTTTTTCAAATTATTAAAGTCTGGGGCTAGGGTTGTGGCTCAGTAGCAGAGCACTTGCCACGCACATGTGAGGCACTGGGTTCGATCCTCAGGACCACATGAAGATAAATAAACAAAATAAAGATATTGTGCCCATGTATAACTAAAAAAATTTAAAAGTATATATAAAAAATTGTTAAAGTCTGATTTGGAAATTATAAGTAGATGTCACAAATCAGCAGTGATTGACAAATATTAGCAGCATGGTTTATAATATTTCTTGAATAGTTTTTTTTTTCTCCTACACTACTGGTTAATAATGCTTTTATTCCTTAAAGGTTACCAAAAAAAGAGTTGCAAACAAAAAGAACTTTGAGAATAAGGAGGCCCAGAGTTCTTCTCAAGCCACTCCACTTCAGACTAGCAAGCCCAGCTCTTCTGATGACACCAGAGTGATTCCACAGGAAAGCTCATCAGGCCCTTTAAAGTCCTCTCAGCTGGCTCAACCTGCATCTTCTTTTCAAGTTGAAACTTCCTCCCAAGGCCACAATACGTCTCATCAGAAGTCAACACCAAGCTCTTCTTCTAGAAGAAAATCAAGAAAACTGGCTGTCAATTTTGGCATTTCTAAACCTTCTGAATAAATTTGGTACTTGGGAATTAAAATAATTTCTTTTATTTCCATCACCTTTTTATAAATCCATATCTCATAAATGTACTATTTTAAAATAATATGTTTGAATATTTTTAATTTTTAAGTCGTCAGGCACTTTTCATGCCATTTAAAAGACTATATATCAAATTGTGCACTTTAACTATGTGCAGTTTGTTGTACGTCAATTATACCTCAATAAAGTTGTAAAAAGAAAAAATACTAAATTAAACCTTTTGTTAAAATGAATTTCAGTGGGCTAAGCATTAAAATGTACCACTCTAACCATTGGCCTCATTAGAAGCTTCCTTGAACTATGAAGTAGACATCATATTAGCAATAATAGTAAACATCTTTTACACTATCATTGAGGGATAATTAAATGAAGCATGAAAATTGGGCCTAAAATATAATTTTCTGGATGTGGATTTTATTTCTCTTTTTAATGATGTAACAAAATTATCAAGAGAATGGCTCTTACTTATGTGTATTGTATTTATGTGCTCTTATTTCTGAGGGTCCTTTAGACCTGCTGTGAAGTAATCACACTGGTTGTGGTGCTGCCAGTTTTGCTTTATTCTAAATTTTGTACCAAAGCAACTATAGAGTACTAATCAGAATATTTCATCCATCTGCTTAAAACTATAAATAGCAATTTAAATTTGAGTAATTAGAATTTTTTAGATTATTCAAGAACCAGCATTAGTAATTTCTAATAAAATTAAGTTTCTAAATCCACAGGGTACAATGATTACAAATTACTCTTCTAATAGAACAAAGTACAAAAATATTAATCATGTTGTTAAATTGTGTTGTTCTTTCCTATAGCTTTTTATTTGCTTACTTAACATGTATGAGAGCTCGTTGTTGTTCCTGGAACTGATGGAATTCTAACTTTCAATTCCAAGGTGCGCTGTGGTACAGACACCGTTGGCAGTTTGTGATGTGTGCTCTTTACTCATTCTAGTTCTACCCTTGAGCTGTATGCTCAGCTGGTCAGTCACACTGGCATTCTGTCTTTGCATGTCACGTGCGGATGTGTGTTGTTCAAACCATTGAAATGATTTAGAATTTATGAAAATTTCTCAGTGGTACCAGGGCCTGGGTTTGTATCTCCATATATATATATATATATATATATATATATATATATATA